ATCAGTTGTCAGCTACTGTATCAGTCATCAGCTCCTTTATTAGTTGTTAGCTTCTTTATCAATCATCATTTCCATGATCAATCATCAGATCCTTTATCATTTGGTTGCTCCTTAATCAATCATCAGCTCCTTTATCAGTCATCAGCTCCTTTATCAATTGTTAGCTACTGTATCAGTCATCAGTTCCTTTATCAGTTGTTAGCTTCTTTATCAGTCATCAGCTCCTTTATTAGTTGTTAGCTTCTTTATCAGTCATCATTTCCATGATCAATCATCAGATCCTTTATCATTTGGTTGCTCCTTCATCAATCATCAGCTCCTTTATCAGTCATCAGTTCCTTTATCAATTGTTAGCTACTGTATCAGTCATCAGCTCCTTTATTAGTTGTTAGCTACTGTATCAGTCATCAGCTCCTTTATCAGTTGTTAGCTTCTTTATCAGTCATCAGCTCCTTTATCAGTTGTTAGCTTCTTTATCAGTCATCAGCTCCTTTATCCGTAGTCAGCTCCTTTATCAGTCGCCAGCTCCTTTATCAGTTGTTAGCTACTGTATCAGTCATCAGCTCCTTTATCAGTTGTTAGCTTCTTTATCAGTCATCAGCTCCTTTATCCGTAGTCAGCTCCTTTATCAGTCGCCAGCTCCTTTATCAATTGTTAGCTACTGTATCAGTCATCAGCTCCTTTATCAATCATCAGCTCCTTTATCATTTGGTTGCTCTCGTATCAGTCATCAGCTCCTTTATCATTTGTTAGCTTCTTTATCAGTCATCATCTTCTTGAGCAATCATAAGCTCCTTTATTAGTTGTTAGGTTCTTTTTCAGTCATCATCTCCTTGATCAATCATTAGCTTCTTTATCAGTCATCAGCTCCTTTATCATTTGTTAGCTTCTTTAACAGTCATCATCTCCATGATCAATCATCAGATCCTTTATCATTTGGTTGCTCCTTCATCAATCATCAGCTCCTTTATCAATTGTTAGCTACTGTATCAGTCATAAGCTCCTTTATCAGTTGTTAGCTACTGTATCAGTCATCAGCTCCTTTATTAGTTGTTAGCTTCTTTATCAATCATCATTTCCATGATCAATCATCAGATCCTTTATCATTTGGTTGCTCCTTCATCAATCATCAGCTCCTTTATCAGTCATCAGCTCCTTTATCAATTGTTAGCTACTGTATCAGTCATCAGTTCCTTTATCAGTTGTTAGCTTCTTTATCAGTCATCAGCTCCTTTATTAGTTGTTAGCTTCTTTATCAGTCATCATTTCCATGATCAATCATCAGATCCTTTATCATTTGGTTGCTCCTTCATCAATCATCAGCTCCTTTATCAGTCATCAGTTCCTTTATCAATTGTTAGCTACTGTATCAGTCATCAGCTCCTTTATTAGTTGTTAGCTACTGTATCAGTCATCAGCTCCTTTATCAGTTGTTAGCTTCTTTATCAGTCATCAGCTCCTTTATCAGTTGTTAGCTTCTTTATCAGTCATCAGCTCCTTTATCCGTAGTCAGCTCCTTTATCAGTCGCCAGCTCCTTTATCAGTTGTTAGCTACTGTATCAGTCATCAGCTCCTTTATCAGTTGTTAGCTTCTTTATCAGTCATCAGCTCCTTTATCCGTAGTCAGCTCCTTTATCAGTCGCCAGCTCCTTTATCAATTGTTAGCTACTGTATCAGTCATCAGCTCCTTTATCAGTTGTTAGCTTCTTTATTCGTCATCAGCTCCTTTATCAGTTGTTAGCTACTGTATCAACCATCAGCTCCTTTATCAGTTGTTAGCTTCTTTATCAGTCATCAGCTCCTTTATCAGTTGTTAGCTACTGTATCAGTCATCAGCTCCTTTATCAGTTGTTAGCTTCTTAATCAGTCATCAGCTCCTTTATCAGTTGTTAGCTTCTTTATTCGTCATCAGCTCCTTTATCAGTTGTTAGCTACTGTATCAACCATCAGCTCCTTTATCAGTTGTTAGCTTCTTTATCATTTCTTTGCTTCTTTATCAATCATCAGCTTCTTTATTAGTTGTTAGCTTCTTTATCAGTCATCATCTCCTTGATCAATCATCAGCTCCTTTATCAGTAGCTAACAACTGATAAGGAGCTGATGACTGATAAAGGACCTTACGAATGATGGAGGAACTGATAACCTATAAAGTAGCGGACAATATTTGTTGATAGAGTAGCTGCCACCTGACAGAGGAGCTGACGTATTATAAAGGAACTGACAAGACTAATAAAGATTAATTATGTGAGATGAAACATGACAATTATGAACTGAGCTGACACCTGATACAGAAGCTGGCAACACTATTATAGGCGGCGTAGATGTCAAATAACGGAACAGTTAAGTGGCTAACGCCGGGTCAAGGACTTGTAACTCAAGTACTCTCGGAAAGGCAAGAAATGCGTTGTTCCGGCTTCATTTCATAAATACGAAACAACATAGCATATATCAAGATAAAGCAAGTCTACCTAATCTAGCCTTTCCCCATTGACACTGTGATTAGCCTGAAAAAGTACAGGTAAAGTGATGATAAACTCAAAAGATGTGTTGTCACGCATGGATGAAACGGCCTTCAGCCGCGGGCAATAACCTTACACCTGTCCCGAGGTGATGACCTCACACCGACCCGTGAATTCCTACAGACTACATTATTATTACAGTCGCATATTTCTTTAGTTCTTTTCAGAATTATTGTAATATATCTGAACTTGCTATTTTCGTTCGAATTTTGCTCCTGCAAAATTGTCGATAGAAATCATTGTGACTGAAATACTACACACGGTAGGTAGGAGATGGGTAGTTACTCGATATGTCAATGGCAACAGTCTGTTAGACATTCTATCTTGTTTAAAAATCTTGTTGGGCAAAAAGTATTTTTCTAGCATATCCGACAATACTTTTATAAACGGGTTAACGACTGACAAAGCCTTGCTAGACAAGGGTATAAGGATCTATACCGAAACGTCGCCTTTACAGTAATTAAAGAAGTTGTAATATCCATTTAAGGTGTCGTTTTTTACCAATAAAGGACCCGTCACCCTGCGACCGGATCTGTCAACTGAATAAGGAACTGATAACTGATAAATGACCTGATAAACAATATACGAGTTGTCAACCCATAAAGCACTTATTGGATGGCACAATAACATCATGTTACGTTGAAGAAGTTAATAAATGCTTATGGGAAAGGTTTTTTTGTAAATAATTAAATTTTATCAGCAGGAATTTTAATAAAGAACTCAACGTTGTTGTTTATCCGACTGTTCAGCGCATGTTAGGCATACAGTCACACGAGGTCTTCCGCTCAAATCTGCTTGTTTAAGACAGATCTGATTTCAGGTTTATTTGCAAAGCCAGGAATGTAAACCCGTTGTGGGTGAGATAGAAATATGTCAGACCCCAGGGTGTGACTCCGCCACGAAAGTTCGTAAACACTCTGACACGAATCGTTTTGATCGGACCTTGTTTGACATGCTGAGCGTGATATATATATTCATTCTGAAAGCGTATACTACAGTTTGTGTACGTGGACGGATATCCAACAAATCTGTACAAGCCTTTTTCGTTAACGATTACTCCAATTATCTATTGTTCAACGATTATTCAGTGGAGCAAATGTGAACCACACGTGTATGGGACAGAGCGGGCGACGACATACGTGTCTTTCAACACGTTACACAACAATACGGTGACATTCTCGGCATGACCTGATATAATACTCAGTTATAACGTCCTCGTTAGTTAGTTTGTTTGTTTGCTGTTTAACGCCGCATTCAGCAATATTCCAGCTATAAGAGGACGGTCTCTAAATAATCGAGTCTGGACCAGACAATCCTGTGATTGACATCATGAGCATCGATCTACGCAACTAGGATACGATGACATGCATCAACAAAATCAGCGAGAATTACTGACCGATCCCGTTAGTCGCCTTTTCCGAAATGCATCGTCGCCATTTACGGCAAGCATGGATTGCTGAAGACCTATTCAACCCCGGATCTTCACGGGTATCGTCCTCGTTAGATAAGAAAACAGAACTCTCTGGATAACAGCTGGTTTCTTGCATTTAGCGACGTTTGATCTGGATTCGTATACTGTAATCAAGCTGGATAGCGACGTAACAATCTACTTCGAAACGTCGCTAAATGCAATAAACCAGAAGTTGTTATCCATAAAGTTGGATGTTTTTTTATTTACTCAGCAACTCCTAGAATGCCAATCCAACAGTTCTCGTTAAACCTCCTAAAAAGCGACCATGCCTGTCCTTAGAGGCGACTAACGGGATCGAGTGGTCAGGCTCGCTGACTTCGATAGTTATGATGTCAATCACTGGATTGTCTGGTCCAGACTCGATTATTTACAGACCGCCGCCATATAGCTGGAGTGCGGCGTTAACAAAACAAACGTTAACCTCCATCCCCTTCACATTTCAATACCCCTCCCCTCCTCGACATATGTCCCAATACCAACACCCATCCACACACGGCTTTAACCCATTGCACCCCCTCCCCTCCAACGAAATGACGTACAATGTACACTGTAATTATGTATTTACACCTGAACAAGTACATAAGGCTGAAAGTTTAATGGCGTCCCGATCGCTTCAGAAGGTTGGTTGGTTGGTTGTTTACCGCCGCACTCAGCAATATTCCAGCTATGGCGGCGGTCTGTAAATAATAAAGTCTGGACCAGACAATCTGGTGATCGATATTATGGGCATCGATCTACGCAATTGGGATCGATGACATGCATCATCCAAGTCAGCGAGCCTGACTACCCGATCCCGCTTGTCGCCTTTTACGACAAGCATAGTCGCCTTTACGGCAAGTGTGGGAATTCTATCCCGGATCTTCACGGATTCGCTTCAGAAGGAGATTTTGACTGTTAGTTACACAAGCACAATGATCATAACTTGTATACAGGTCGACATGAACGTTAACATGCTAAATGATAATATATTACAGAGTGTTTATATAAAGTACATGTTACAGTAAACGTACCTGTGAAAACGACCAAGTGTGCGAGTGTGTTCATCGTGTTGACGAGGCGGGATGGCGATATGGCCTTGGCCTTTGAAACGGATGAATGGACTTTCATTAATCCGATCCATCTCAGTTCAAATACTTGGCACTGATCGAAAGCAATTCCCTGGGACTGGTTGTTGCCTTTGTTTTTTTTCCCGTGAGTACCCGGATCTAGACTAGTTCGCAATCTGTGCTGCGCCATTCGTAAGCGCATTATCACTCTCTTATAGTATAAGGGCGTATGGTCACATTGATTTACAAAATGAAATACAGTTTTGGAAATAATAAGGAAATGTGGGTATCTTTGTGGGTAGCATCGGTAATGGTGACGAAGGTTTGATAAGTCACTGGCTTGGTACACTATTTTTACTTTTGATACAAAGTAAATATTTTACCTGAGCATTGCTTATTTTATCGTGTTTATATTTTTACAGTCAAAATGTGCAAAATTTTCACTTAGGAAATTTATTAAACGCCTAAATATTCAGTTATTATCAAATTGACTGAAAAAATATGTCAATCGGTATTATTATGATAACGAATTCCAAACATTTTTATGTTTTATATCATCACCAAGAGACTGAAAATGTTAGAAGTACATTTCTATATTGTTTGACTTCTAATCCTAGCATAATTAAGCCCTTTTGACCGTCTAAATCATTTTTAGTTAATCTGTCAAAAAGATGGACAGATGTTTAAGTCAAAACAAGTGAAATATTTAGATATTTTATAAACTGCCTGAGAGACTCACTTTTCATAAATTGACTGTAATATATACACGCTTACTAAGGAAAAGACTTGTGAAAACAACGTCTATCACGCATCGAATAATTTCCCAACCAAGACGTAGAGGAACCAGAATGAATATGTTCCATGTTACAGCAAATGAAGGAAAGCAAAATACAAATATCATAATTACAACCTACCAAATTTATATGTATAAATTTAGGTAGCTTCCTTGTTCGAAGAATGTATCCGTGAATATCCACATAGAGGAACAATATCCCACACGTCTGCAGCTGTACAAAGAAAGGTATTCCATATCACGTCTCTATGTAACAATCAAATATTTTAAAATATATATATCGTTCCGGTATATGATAACCCGTGGTCGTTTCTCAACTGATCAATTGTTTGTTTCAGGTGTTTCACATAGGTGCCAAGTCTCAAAGGTCAGCTGAGAAAGCCCACCTATACAACTATTTTCATAATATCCATGGTTCTTAAAAAATCCTTTGAGTTTGATAACAATGAAAACTCAAAAAACGTATTATTGGTTAACCCTTTAAACAAAGTACATGTATGTTGGTTTTACATCGGCACTTCACGCCATGATATGAATGTATTCCCTTTGCTTCAGTAAATCTAGACATGTAAACACTTACTTTGATATATCCACTGTGCAAGATTCTGTTAATCCTTTGATGGCTCGGAATGATCCGTTGATTTACAAAAAAGTAAATCATCTGATCAGTCATCTCTTGCTGGGCTGCCACGTGCATATTACATAACACATATTTCAACTCACTTCAAACCCGGATTTAGAATAATTAATTAACCAGACACAAGAATACCAAATGGGAACCTTTATCAGGTAATCTGAGTGGTGCTACCACTAATTTTACCTGTAATAAATTCATTAACTGAGCATCAAGTGAATGACGACAAATACACAAGTGTAGGGTTATACCAGAAAACGTGGATGACAACAAGGGACTAGTAATGGTATTATCCACGCAATCCGAAATCCGAAATTTCTTTCACTGCAGGGATACCTTTTTTATTATTAAACTATCACCATCAGGGGTATTTCCAAATGACGACTTCCGATGAGCTTCCGCCGTTCTTTTTGTATGTATGTTTAGGCTGAAGAAATTAATTAACATGCGCCCTTTGTTGAAATCTTTATATATCACTGGTTACCAATCAGTGTTCAAAAATGCGTAAAACAAATATTGCCTCGAAGTTTATTTACAGACGGTAGCCCAGTCTCTTGTCACGCTCAGTTGCGTTAGCGAGCAAATCGAACCCCAGAAGAAGCTAGAGATCAGTGCCCCTTTAACTTGCTGGGTTCAAAGAGTTCACACTCCAGTATCCAACACAATATGAAATTCATTTCTTAGACATTCGTATTTTGTTTAAGTTTAATGGATGCACATTTTACTATGACGCACATTTTAGGCGGTTTACCTTGCCGGATACATTGGGATGCTGTGACCCAATTGCAGGTATATTCTTCACACTTACACAAAACAAAGTAGTTCCAATTCCATAAATTAAAGAAACTCAAATAATTATTACTATTTTTTTCACCCGAACTTCACCTCAAACAAATTACCAAATACGAATAGCATATGTTGTATGACATCATAACTGGTGATCGAGCGGAAAGTCAGGGGTTCGATCCCCGGCCGCGTTATACCAAAAGACATTAAAAGATGGTACTTGTTGTTACCCTGTCTTGCGCTCGGCATTAAGGGGTTAATGAAAACAAGGACTGGTCGGCTCGGAGTCAGTATACTGTGTCTGAGTGGGGTATTCATGTTAAACTGCGGCAAGGCATCTCAGTGGGCTAGCACTATAAATCGATATAAGTCGTGGCTGGTACAAGCAGGCACACACACACACACACGTGCATGCACGTCACTGTACCAGTGCAATAATCGTGGACGCGACGTTAAACCCCATTTCACCTCACCTCATTGTAACCAAGAGAAATAAGTCAGAAATGCCGATAAATACTGTTGTCGTTTTGCCTGATATTGCGTCAGGACGAAAACTTTGACAAGTTCTGTTAAATTTACCAAATCATTGTTTTTTATCATTCAATGTTTAATTCCCTTATTCTATATACGATATTCTTCCCAATCATATTGTAAAAATATTGAGCCATTGTATGGAACGGCCGGATGAATGGATATCTCAAAATAGGAGAAAATGCTACAAGTGTGGACTCAAAATCAGCTCTATCAGACCATATCCGTGACAACCCAAGCCACAGCATCCAGTGGACAAAGTCAAAGGCCTCACCACCAACCTCAAAGACTTCAAAATCAGAAAACTACAAAAAGCAATCAACATCAAAAGACTCCAACCACCAATCATCCGTGACCAAGGCTACTACATACAACCGGCGTACCACCAGCTCATCAAAGACCCAAATTAGTCATAATCCTTTTGTTGATTTTATTACTGGCTTCACGGGCCAATATGTTTTAACCTTCTGTTTACATAACAGGCTTCTCCTCTCCAGCAGTGTAACTGCATCTTAAACCTACACAACTGTATAAACACTGCCTCCTATCCTGTATATACACTTGTCAACCATACTCTGTACATCACTTGCTTGATAACGGTAACGTCGCTCCTAATTGTAATAAAGAAGTTGTTCATCTATATATCGTATTCTTACATAGTACTCCAACTTCTAAATTCCTCTCAAAGAAGTTAAAACACACTCAGCTGATAATCTCTACAGCCAGTCTTTTGTGATAACGTTTTTAGTCACAAGTCGACTTTGGGAGACAATAAAACAATTGTTGGCTAGCATATTCGTTAGACCATATCGACCACCTCCGTGGTCTAGTGGTAGAGCGTCCGCCCGGAGAGCGGAAGGTCCGGGGTTCGATCCCCGGCCGCGTCATACCAAAAGACGTTAAAAGATGGTACTTGTTGTTACCCTGTCTGGCTCGGCATTAAGGGGCTAAAACAAGGACTGGTCTGCTCGGAGTCAGTATACTGTGTCTGAGTGGGGTATTCATGTTAAACTGCGGCATGGTATCTCAGTGAGCTAGTACTATAAATCGGCACCAGTCCGGACTAGTACAAGAGGCCACACAAACACACACACGTACCTGCACGTCGCTATATAAGTGCAACAATCTTGGACGCGACGTTAAACCCCATTTAACCTCACCTCGTTGGACTATCAATAACGTGGTTTGTATATCCTCAGGCCCTCATAACATCCCTTCCTACATGAAGTGTGAACGGGAGGTCAGTCACTGAGTCACGTGGCGGTCATCTACCTCACTGGACAGTTTTTTATTACTCTTCAAGTAAAGAAAGCCAAACCTTGGCGTAATGACAGCCGTATTTCTTTCAAGGAATGATGGATGTCTACACATTGCTGTGGATATATTACTATTGTTCTTTATTATTATTTGAAAGTTATGGACATATCTGATGTTCAATAATGTGAAGAATGTAAAAAAAACATATTCTGTTGTTCGGACTGCGACAGGGCAGCTATATAACTCCCTGATTGTCTACCATAGATGCACTGTTCACTGATACTCTCTGCTCTTCACCATGCACTCGTTATACTCTATCCTTGCCATTGTCTTCACGGTGTACATGCAGCCGACATCTGCTCAGGGTAAGTAAACGTCGGGCATCTCACACCATACACTGTAGTGGGCATTTACACGCCAATGTGTTGTCTCGTCACGCCGAAGACCCGGGTTCGATTCCCGACATGGGTACAATTTGTGAAGCCCAATTCTAGTATCCCCCGCCGTGATATTGCTGGAATATTGCTAAAAGCGGCGTGAAACTCACTCACTCACTCACTCAATGTGTTGTCTCAGGACTTCCCTACTATAGGCTAGGATAGATATGGATATGTACACACACACGGACATAGATAGATAGATAGATAGATAGATAGATAGATCGATAGATAGATAGATAGATAGATAGATAGATAGATAGATAGATAGATCGATCGATAGATAGATAGATAGATAGATAGATAGATAGGAACTCATAGTTTTGACAGAGATAATGAGCTCTTCATACTACATGCCATATATTCATGAATGTAATATTATTGATATTAATAACACTATCAATAAATTGTCATCGAAAGATAATATTTATCAAAATGTGATATATTGTGTGTCTATACGTTTCACCTCAAAGTATTCGTATGAACTTCAATGATATGAACAAAATTAAGTTATCTATATATTGTCATCTTCTTTCCTTAAACTTGCGATATATATATATATATATATATATATATATATATATATATATATATATATATATATAATTAGAATATATTTATGTGTTATATATAAGTAAATGTGTGAGTGAAAGAAATTAATATGTACATCTTTATTATAATTGAATGCTCATTTGTGAATCGTAATACATATCATAACGTTTTATGAACTGATCGCATAAGAACGTATTGAAAGTACAAGTGTTGTCGACAAGAACCATGGTTGCAAAGTGAGCTAAGATTGTATCACCTGTTGACAGCCCTGTGCGACACTGTTGGCTGCCTCAATGGTGCCTGCGTCCTGCCACCAACTGTAGTTGTCCCCACGTGCAACTGTACTGCCGGTTTCCAGTTGACCCTCACCGACCCGAATGTTTGCATCAGTAAGTTATATTTAACATTTAACAAATAACAAAGAAATAATACAAACACATTAAAATTGCATTCCAATTATGTATGTTGCGCTTTAGGTTCTACTTACCATAATAGCAAGGTACGTATGTCGTAATAGCCGACTAGAATGAGGACCGGTGGTTACAAATTGGGACCTGACTGATTGTGTTTCTTCTACAATGTAAATGTACAAAGCTTTATGACAAAAGGCGTTATTGCTAACAACAGTGTCAAAGAATATTAATTAATTATTTGTCTAATTAGATTGAATATTTTGACTCGAAGCAGAGGGATGATACTTTTTATTCCACGCATTATATGTATTACACATTCTTTAATGTTCCTGACCACAATACAGGGAAACGTTACGTTTAGCTTTTGTGTTTGTAAACTCAAAATACAACTCAAATTAAAATTAAATTCCTTTGTTTCAGATATTGACGAGTGTTATTACTTCAATTACCTCTGTGGGGTGAGTTATGAGCCATATCTCCGCAGGTATGTCTCGAGTGGGAGATGTGTCGACAAGCCAGGCTCATATGAATGTACGTGCAACCCCAACGTGGCCCTGCCATCATTCGACAACAAGACCTGTTTCCGTAAGTAATGTCATGTGCTTCTCACATCGGACTTCAGTCCATGTCATTGAATAAAAATATTAACCAATATATATTGGTTAATATTTATATTATAATATTATATTATTTATATATATTTCGATTCCCGACATGGGTACAATGTGTGAAGCCCATTTCTGGTGTCCCCCGCCGTGATATTGCTGGAATATTGCTAAAAGCGGCGTAAAACCATACTCACTCACTCAATTATATATATTTGGCAGGGTGTGTGTGGCTGTCCCTCCAATAAACACTTTAACCCCAGTGTTTGTTGGCATGGAGTGATGCGAAATAGCATTGCCTGGCATAGAAGTGTTCTATTTATGAAAAGTCCATTCACTGCAAATAGCTTCCTAGATTCCACATGAGCCACAAATATGTTTTGATTTGACATTTGATGTTTTACAGCACTGCCTTTTCAACAACCTCAACAACAGCAACAGCAACAACAACTACAGCAACAACAGTTCTATCAACGTCTGATATCCACGCTCCTGCTCACCCAGTCTGAATTATAACATGTAACATCATAAAATGATTACTGCATGTATCTTGAAGCTTCTATAATTATATATTCTCGTGTAAATTGAATTTTTAATAAAATATGTTTGTTGTGATCCGTTTGCATATTTCCTTGTACTGTATTAGAGTATCCCAGTGGTTGGTTGGTTGGTTAACGCCGCACGCAGCAATATTGCAGCTATATGACGACGGTCTGTAAATAATCAAGTCTGGACCAGACAATCATTGATTAATGTCATGAGCATCGATAAACACAATTAAGATCAATGATATGCATCAACCTAGTCAGCGAGCCTGACTACCCGACCCCGTTAGTCGCCTCTTACGACAAGCATAGTCATGTCTTACGGCAAGCATGGGTTGCTGAAGACCTATTCTACCCCGGATCTTCATGGGTCTCCAATGGAAGGAACACTGGTATACCTGGCCCTGGTGGGAGAATGAATTAAGATGACTTAATGTTAAACACACTATAAATATTAAATAGTGCTGATACCAGGTGTTCGAGAAAAGGGGAGCCCAGCCTGTGTCACCCGCCACAAACACACGCAAAGGCTAGTCATTTGCTAACCTGAAAAAACACACAGGAAGGTGCATGTGGTACAAGTAAACATAGGGAATAGCATCGGACATAATTATTCCCGAAGTGTCAAATTTATTTTGAATGTCCTCCAAATGCCTACCATAAACGTTTGGAAGGCTTTACTGAGGCCTTGAATGTTGTAACGAAATGATTTGTTTCATTATGTAAAAAGCAACACCTAGCCTGTTGCCATGGACACTGGCTTTCAGACTAATTTCAGTAAAACAGAGGACCTTTAGAGGAGTATAACCATTACTGCACACTATTTAATAAACTACACTACACGTTCGTACCAACGATGCCAATAGGTGACATGGTGAATACTAAGTATGTCGCATTGTCACGTTGTCATACAGTGACAGTTTAAATCCTTTTTACACATTTTAAATGGGATGACATTGCGACAACATGAATTTCTTTTACCCTGACCTCGCATTGCCACCCCTGTTAAAAATAAACCAAAATATAGCATGTAATGAGACAAAAAGAATGGCCAAAATGAATAATTGTCGTACTGACACTTTGGCTTCCGTTCGTAGAAATCCTTTATGCAATTCCGGCACACGGGTAGCCTAATGGTTATAGCGTTCGCTCGTCACGCCGAAGACCCGGGTTCGATTCCCGTCATGGTTACAATGTGTGAAGCCCATTTCTGGTGTCCCCCCACCGTGATATTGCTGGCTTAAAACCATACTCACTCACACACTCACTATGTCGACTTTGGAGTAGCAACATCTTTGTGTACCGACTTGGTATCGCCTTGGACAACACATTTAATTTAATCAACATTATGGGGATCAACAGAAAACTGACAATGCTTAAGCCCAAGATGGACAAACTATCGTTTATGTCTTGGAGTACTGGAAATCTTTTACAGACGGTCCAAGTATCAGTCATCCTACATTCTACCATGATATTGAGGAATGCTTGATTTTCATTGGTTCAAAACTTTTCCTTTTAGCTACAGAAAGCTCTTTTAAATATATTAAGCCTTTTCGCACTTACATCCATAGCCTACATATCGATCCTTAATAAGATGACCGCCGATCACCCATAAGAACTGAATACCGTATCGATATTTCCTCCATCAGGCGCTGGGTCTCTAATATACATGTGTAAGCTAGGTCTCTTATACACACCAGGTCAACGGATCTCACGAAATTAATAGACGGCCGGGCGTCTAATAGAGGAAATACAGTACGTCATATATCGGACCATATGATATCCTAGGCCGCAACCGCGAGATTAAAAAAATTAACGAAGGCATATCTCGTGTATACAAAAATAATAAGGTAATATTTCAGTAGGTCGTGAAACCAAACATCGTCTCTCCTTTTTTATGTTTAGATCTATGCTACTCAGATTCAGAGTGACAACGCCGAATGGAATCTGTTTTTGACGGATAACCGAGACAAGTAAAATATTCACAGGCCTTGACGTTTTATATTCAGGTTTCCAATAGTTAATAGTTTTCCCTATATAGCATTGTTCCTGTTAGTCTCGCCTTTGGTGCCCACATTCTAGGGACAATCGAGCATGTTCTTCCTTCGAGCGTCATACGACTCTTGCTTAAGAGGTTTTTGAGGGTCCAAATTTGACGCATCAGTGACAATAATGATGTCCGATGCAATTCCTTATTTTCACTTGTACCATGGTTGTTCCCGTGTTTTTGACTTGCCTTTGCATGTGTGTTTGAAGGGTGCCACCGGTGGGGCAGGATACGCTCACCTTTTAGCGAACATCTTGTATCATCACTATGCTCGTACAATCGACTCTGCCCAAAGCAGATATTTCTGTGGGATATGGAAACTGAGTGAGTGAGTGAGTTGGGTTTAACGCCGATTTTAACAGTATTACAGTTATATCACGTAGTTAGCTTAACGTGGGAGGAAAGCCCGAAGTGATGCAGGTCTCAGACGTTTACCACTTTGATGAAACCCATGAGCACGGGTATGGTGCTGACAAACCTAGAAACATAATCGTGGCGAATCGGGATTCGAACCCACAATCATAGGATTCTGGCGTGCCCAAGGGACGCAACTCTGCACAGCGAATCGCGGCGCGTTAGACGACTGGGCCATCCGTGCCCCCGGATATGGAAAGGGTTTTGTCGCTTTATTTACAGCATTTCAAGGTCTTTTGAAGGCATTCGAAAAAGTTTGATGGTGGACATGTGGAGGACGTTTCTAAATTCGACACATCAGTGACCAAAATGATGTCCGATGCAAATCCCAATTTGTGACGGGGCCACCGGTGAGGCAGGACACACCGCCCACCCCCTACCCTACCCCTTCCCTTTCGCCAACAATACATATCAATACTAGTTGATACTGACCCACTCCGCATTGACTAACTTTGGAGCAGAAGGTCGGTGGTTCGATCATCGGCCGCGTCCAACCATACTGACGTTTAAAGATGGTTCTTGTTGTTACCCTGGTTCTCGGTTTTAAGGGGATAACACTAAGACACGTCGGACGAGAGGAATAGTCCCAACTTGTACAAACAGACACACGCAAGGTTATGCATTAATAATACATACACTGATACTGCATAAGAACCTTTCAGACTAATAACTAAACTATAATAGATTTTTTTTTAAACCAGTTTGAGAACTTTTAAAAGAATAAACGATAATTAAACGAAACATAAAAACGGGCTAGAGATCGCAAAAGGGACTATACCATTCAAAGATATATAAAAAGTCACATGTATATGTGAAATTGTGAATACCGATAAAATAATGAGAATCTGTTTTTCCATGACCTGACCCTTGTGTCGGTCACTGAGTCACGTGACTGTCATTTACCTTTCTGGACGTTTTTTCAATAAGTGACCTGTAGTTAAAAAAAACCTAACCTTGGGACAGTCTCAGCCATATTTACGAATGACTTTTGTACACACATAACTGTGGATATATTACTATTGTTCTGTATGGTAATTTGACAGCCATTGACTATCACTATTGTTCTGTATAATATTTTGACAGCCATTGATATACGCGATGTCTCATAACGAGAAGAATGTAAACAAAACATTTTCCGGTGATAGGAGTGCGACGGGGCAGCTATATAACCCCCGTGACTGTCTACCTTAGATGCACTGTTCACTGACACTCGCCCCTCTACACAATGCACTTCTTATTCTACATTGTCTTCACGGTGTACATGCAGCCGACAACTGCGCCTCATCGTAAGTAAACACGTGACTCCTCGCGTCATACTTTGTCATGGCAATTTACACACGAATCCTTACTATAGAGGGGCGGTCGGGTAAACCACTGGTTAAAGCGTTCGCTCGTCACGCCGAAGACCCGGGTTCCATTCCCGACATGGGTACAATGCGTGAAGCCCATTTCTGGTGTCCCCCGTCGTGATATTGCTGGACTATTGCTAAAAGCGGCGTGAAATCCAACTCACTCACTTCTTACTATAGGCTAGTTAATTGCAGATATCTGTACAAATACACCTTTCAGGAACTCAATTTGGATAAGGATACTGAACCTTTCATACTCCATGCATTACATACACACACCAATTGATAAACATTGACGAATGGAAAAAGAACATATGTTCATGATCATTAGGCATATGAAACCTAAGCTTAATTCAAAAGCATAATTTTCAAAACTTCCCTATGTAGTTCAATGTATATTTGTGAGCTCACACCATAATAATTACATGCTCGTTGTTTTCACAGGAATTCTTGCATTCTGATAAGCTGAATTGGTCACGTGTTACTGCATTTATTTCCCTACGAATGTAAGAAATAAATACACGCCCACCGAGGCGTACTGCTTTTATTACTGCGGAATGTCGGGAAATCCAACATTACAGTCGAAGGAATTCCCTTTCTGCTCACGTGTGACGACGTGCACAGGACATTTAGCGAAATTCATGCATTTTCATTATCCAAACAACCCTTTGAAGACCGAGGCCGAGAAGGAATGAAACAGCAACCGTGCAGGCTCGCTCGCCTGTTTTTTCCCCGTTCGCCTGGGTTTCACAAATTTCATGTCTTCGGGTTTCATTTCAAACCCGCATTGTTCCAACTATGTCTTCCCGTTCTCAGGGAACTAATGTTTGAATCTGGCGGTAACTGCCCATGTCACGGGAAACAGCCGCCAAAGGCATTATGACGTCAAAAAACAGAATGTTGGGTGTCGCCTACGTCTTTCGTCTCCCTTTATTGTCACTGACTGTTAAGTGATAGGCATAGTGGCGATCCAAATATTGCTGTTGAGTCATCTTGAAAGTTTTGTCGTCACGAAACATGGTTGCAAATTGAGTTAAGATTGTACCTCCTGTGGTTGACAGTCCAATGCGGCACTCTTGGCTGCGTCAATTGCAGCTATATCCAGCCACCAACTGTACCTTCCCCAGCCTGCAACTGTATCCTGCCACCAACTGTACCTTCCCCAGCCTGCAACTGTATCCTGCCACCAACTGTACCTCCCCCCGCCTGCAACTGTATCCTGCCACCAACTGTACCTTCCCCAGCCTGCAACTGTATCCAGCCACCAACTGTACCTTCCCCCGCCTGCAACTGTATCCTGCCACCAACTGTACCTTCCCCAGCCTGCAACTGTATCCTGCCACAAACTGTACCTTCCCCCGCCTGCAACTGTATCCTGCCACCAACTGTACCTTCCCCAGCCTGCAACTGTATCCTGCCACCAACTGTACCTTCCCCCGCCTGCAACTGTACTGCCGGTTTCCAGTTGACTGTCGCCGACCCGAATGTTTGCTTCAGTAATTATATTTCACACAACTAATAACCAAGAAATAACACAAACACAACGCATTTCAATTATGTATATTGCGCGCTAGAGAGCTACGCAAAGTACTTACCATACTAACGAGGTACGTATCTGTACGTATGTCGTAATAGCCGACTAGAATGAGGACCCGTGGTTACTAAATGGGACCTGACTGATTGTCTTTCTTTTACAATATTGAAATACAAGGCTCTTTGACAAAAGGCGTTATTGCTAACTACAATGTCAATCAATGTTAATTAATTATTTGCCTAATTAGAATGAATAGTTTAACACGAAGCAGAGGGATGATATAGGTTATGTCACGCAACTTAGTATAACACATTCTTTATCATTTCCACCAACAATAAGGGGATACGTTAGGTTTTACTATTGTGACTGAAATTCAAAATAAAACTTCACTTGTTTCAGATATTGACGAGTGTTCGAACAAAAAAAACCTCTTTGGGGTGAGTTATGAGCCATATCTCCGCAGGTATGTCTCCAGTGGGAGATGTGTCGACAACCCAGGCTCATTCACCTGTCTCTGCAACCCCAACGTGGCCCTGCCATCATTCGACAACAAGACCTGTTTCCGTTAGTAATGGGGGGCACGGGTGGCCCAGTCGTCTAAGGCGCCGCGATTCGCTGTGCAGAGTTGCGTCCCTTGGGCACGCCAGAAACCTATGATTGTGGGTTCGCCCCAATTATGTTTCTAGGTTTGTCAGCACCATACCTGTGCTCGTGGGTTTCACCGAAGTGGTAAACGTCTGAGACCTGCATTCCTTCGGGCTTTCCTCCCACATTAAGCTGACACGCCGTGATATAACTGGAATAATGTTAAACTCGGCGTTAAACCCAACTCACTCACTTACTCCGTAAGTAATGTCACTGAACAAACTATTAACTGGGATAGAAATTTTGTGTGGGTGGATGTCCAACCAATAAACACTTTAATCCCAGTGCTTGTTGGCTTAAGGTGATGCGGAATGGTATTGCCGGCATAGAAGTGTTCTCGGTATAAAAAGTCCATACACTGCAAATAACTAGTATAAATAAGCCACAAATATGTTTTTATTTGACATTTGATGTTTTACAGCCCTGCCTGTTCAACAACCTCAACAACCTCAACAACAACAACAGCAACAGCAACAGCAACAGCAACACTTCTATCAAAGTCTGATAACCCAGCTCCTGCTCGCCCAGTTATTCTAAATGTAACGGGGCGGTCGGGTAGCCTAGTGGTTAAAGCGTTCGCCTTTCACGCCGAAGACCCGGGTTCGATTCCCGACATGGGTACAATGTGTCAAGCCGATTTCTGGTTATATTGCTGGAATATTGCTAAAAGGGGCGTAAAACCATACTCACTCACCCTAAATTAACATTATCAAATGATTACAATCAATATTTCTTCATTCTCGGGTCATCTGGAGTATTAATTAAATATTTTTAATTGTGATGTGTTTGCATATTTCCTTGTACTGTGTTGGGGTGTGTCAGTGGAAGGAACACTAACATCCCTGGCCCTGGTGGCAAAATGAATTCACAATATTATAATCTTAAACACAGGTTAGATGACTATCAGTCAGTATTTGCATCTTAACTTGGAGGTCGATCAGATAGCCTAGTGGTTAAAGCGTTCGCCTCCACGCGGGTTCAATTCACCACATGGGTACAATTTGTGAAGCCCGTTCCTGGTGTCCTCCGCCCTGATATTGCTGGAATATTGCTAAGAACGGCGTAAAACCTCACTCACTCATTCACTCTCTCACCCAACCACTCACTCACTCACTCACCCACTCACTCACTCACTGAACTGGAATTTACAGCTTTAAGGTGCGCAAGAACGTTCATAGATAATGTCATTGTCATCAACCAGCAACATTACATCAGTTGAAGCCGGTATCAACTGAATTCCGAAGAAGATGGTGTCAGATATGCTTGCGTCAGACATGCTTGCAAACGCAAGTATATTTCTGTGATAAGTCTAGTAATTTTACTGTCCTTCGTTTTTATGTAATGTATTTATTATGTTTAACCCTTGATAGTCACGATATGGCTGAAATATTGCCGATGTGAGTTAAAATTCTAACTCACTCGCTCACACTTCTCAGTAAAGAGTCTGGAAGCAGTCCCGAGTTCAATGAAGTCCCCTTTTCTGACTCACAGAATGTTCATTAGTTAGGAAATGAGTTAATAACAGATGTTAGGAGGTCTCCAGAAAACGTCTAGAAAATATTTGAACCAGAGTGAGTGAGTGAGTGAGTGAGTGAGTGAGTGTGGCTTTACACAGCTTACGTGTTACAGCAATATCACTGCCGGGGACACCGGAAATGGGCTTCACACATTGTAACCATGTCATTGATACTTTGTTTCAGAATACGGTGTGTGTGTGTGTGTGTGTGTGTGTGTGTGTGTGTGTGTGTGTGTGTGTGTGTGTGTGTGTGTGTGTTTTAGCCTAGTGGTTAAAGCGTTCGTACGTCACGCCGAAGACCCGGGTTCGATTCCCGATATGGGTACAATATGTGAAGCCTAATTCTAGTGTCCCCTGCCGGGATATTGCTAAAAGCGGCGTAAAACCATACTCACTTACTCGGAATCACTGGAGTAAAGAAGAGTACCTTTCTATTTGAAAAAGGAGTGTAACCATTTCTGCACATGTTCAGCTAAGGTCAGGGACTACACATTTGCACCAGTAATGGATTGAATGACGACACGTCAATAGGCATATGTAGCAATGTCCCATTGGCGTTGTGACACAGTGTAAAGCCTTTTTGACACATTTTAAATGGCGCGACAATGCGACAACGCCACATATTTTGACATTACAAAATGTCGTGTTCTTTCATTGTCGCCATTTTGTCAAAAAACGATAATGATAAAGGAGAATCATATGTGTGCCTAATGTACTGAACCGCAAAAGAAACGTCACCCCAGTAACATTGCATGAAAAGTTGTCATTTAAATATCTGGGTAGTTTTTGTCAAAGTTTCTAAAATTTAACATTACCTTGTCCGGAAAAATGCGATTTGATGATAAAAACAAAGCAGATGACAATAAAACGCATCACGGCAACGGCCGTGGTAACCCGAAGCACGTGAGTTCCGTGCAAATTGAAATGCACATGCGTTCCCCCATTTCTTGAAATTCTTGAATTCAATTGCTACCACATGCCAAGATTGACAAGAAATCAGCGACACCAAGCCCTTGGATGATTGCAAGCTGGACAAACCGCCCGGCAAATAGCCAATGCATTTCAAGTCCACGTCAGGACCATATAAGGCTCCAGCAACGGTATCAGACCACCAACACTACAGATGACCACATAGTGGAAGATCAAGGGTCACCACCCGACGTCAGGATCGTCAGATTGTGCGATAGCATCTTCGCTTTGTTACTGTTGCGGAAAGGAAACTGCTCGACAGACCATGGGGACACACCAGCGACATATTAGTGCGGACACCGTGCGTCGACGATTGACGAGCAGACACCTCCTCTGTCACAGGCCACACCGAGGACCCATTCCGACACCACGTCATCGCCGGGACCGTCTTCAGTGGGCAACACAGCACCAGCATTGGCGCTACCAGCAGTGGAGAAGAGTCCTCTTCTCAGACGAGAGCCGGCAGAGAGAGAGAGTCTGACCACGCCGTGGGGAACGGTATTCGGATGCTTGTGTTGTGTAGAGAGACTCGTGGGGTGGTCCGAGCATTATGGCGTGGGGTGGAATTGGTCTCGCACAGAGGGTCGGCACAGAGGGTCGATACAGGGTGAGGCAATGGTGTCACAGCAGCTCGGTACATTGATCAAATCTTGAGACCACTCGCCATACCTCACTTGGCACGTCGCCGCAACCACGGGTTTCAGCATGATAGCGCCCGTGCCCACACTGCGAGAGCAACAAGAGACTTTTTCCAGCAGAATGGCGTCAGAACCATGAGGTGGCCTGCCTTCAGTCTTGATTTAAATCCCATTGAGCACCTGTGGGACGAGATTCAAAGACGGCTGAATGACGTCCGACCAAAGCCGACAACTGCAGCTGAACTGCGTCAGGCGTTCCTCAGAGTGTGGGCTCAAATGCCTATCGCCTTCATCAACCGCCTCATCCATTCCATGTATCGAAGTTGCACGACAGACATAAATGCACATGGCGGACACACGAGATACTGACTTGTGATGCCATTTTCTCAGAGACTAGTGTTGTGTTTCACTTTAAGAACATTTGACACTTTAACTTCAACCTTGATCATCAGTTTTGCCAATTTTCATCTTTTTAATATGTCCCAAAATATGTTTACAGTGTTTCCACAAATAAGGTTTCTCAAATATCTATCCATGGTGACGTTTCTTTTGCGGTTCAGTATATATAGTCATATCCTATCAACGATCAACGAACCGATGGCGAAACTTTAAGGAGAATATCCGTGACGATCCGGGTTAAAAATGTCTTCAGGAAGCCATGCTTGCCGAAAAAAAGGCGACTATGCTTGTCGTAAGAGGCGACAACGGGATCGGGTGGTCAGGCTCACTGACTTGGTTGATGCATGTCATCTTATCCCAATTGCGTGGATCGATACTCATGACATCAATCACTGGATTGTCTGATCCAGACTCGATTATTTACAGACCGCCGTCATATAGCTGGAATAATGTTGAGTGCAGCGTTAAACAACAAACAAACAATACAGCTGAATTAATATGTCGCTTCCGATCCACATGGTGATTGGTTAATGACTGTTCCCGACGGCCTCCTTGGTTGCTTTGACGTGTCCCCTCGCCATGTTCAGCAAGCACTGAAATAATCCCTTAAGTCATTCTGGTACACGCTTTACCATGTGAACTCTGGACTCGCAAGCTCTTTGTGATAAACGTCTGTCTGCAGACCTGGCATCTGGTTTAATCGACATTTCACGGACAGACAACGGACAACTGACAATACGCATGCCAAAGATGGACGAACTAACGTTTCTGTCTTAAAATAAAGGAGATAATCTACAGGCGGTTTAATAAAAGTAATCAAGCCGAAGTCATCCGTCACGGAATCATGGTACCCTTGCTTAGATATTTAGCGACATTTACAGTATATTGTTTAACAGTAATGAAAGCAACACATGAATGTTACACTGAAAACCTCTTAGAACCATAGAACAATATGTATGCACATCATATATGCATGATATATGCATACGTTGACATATAATTGTAAACTCTGTGGTGCGGACAAGTGCCCCAAATGAGGCAGTTTATATACGTCTCATGCTGAGTGAGCTTGTCATTTTCATTCTTTTAGAATGTTCATATATACAAAAAAAACGTGAATCATATATGCAATACTAGTATATAACGTGAAATATAACGGGATTAAAGCGTCTTTCCCACAGGCTGAGATACCCTATTGTGTCGACCCTACATATAAGGTAATATGTGTCATCTTTACATATATGCATTAAGATTGAGAGTGACAACGCCCAATGGGACCTGATTTGTTGGATAATCGAGATTGGTAAAATATTCTCAGGCGTTGACCTTTTTTTAAAACTTTCCAATAGAACTTTCCTTTCGTGTCGTGCACTGTGCCAGTATCTCCAACATTTTCGGCACAAATGTCGGTCATCCCAGTCTTCATTGAACCAATTTATGTTCACTCAAAATTACCCAGCTACAGATTACGTATTACAAATTGCAGGAATTAGTGATGTTAAATACACATAACCAAATTTAATAAACATTTTTTTGTTCAATTTTCAATTTTATAAAACCAAACTCGGTATTCTCTCTATTGTCCCTCAGTTTATAATTTTTTAAACTCATATCGTTCAACTCAGATTAAGAATACGATTATTTTGAGCATTTAAGTTATTTCCTTTAGTACTGAGGCGGTATGGCAGCCTCCTGGTTCATCACACTGGATCAATGGGTCCTTTCCAAAATGAGTACAGTGTGTGACAGTGATTCACGGTGTCATATGTAGCGATATTGTGGAATATTCCTAAGAGCAGAGACCTGAGAAAAAACTACCTCATTCAATCCTCATCGTTCGAACAATTAACTTCAATGTTCTTGAAACAATAGCGTATATCCAAATTTGAATCTTCATGTTCAAGATGAAATCAAACATTCAAACATTCAATTATTTACGATAACAACATGAAATATACAAAATGCTGTGACAGAAGATACTTT